ATTACGTTGTACTTCTATCGGTCCCTTAAAACTTTGTCAAGTTTAACCGGCACGAGCATTAATAAAGTAAAAACTGTGTGGTTGAGGTTTGTGCAGAGGAGAGAGAATTAACTGGTACCATAAATTATTTACTTAAAAGGGGAAGTGACAAAGTTAGTGGGACATCCAAAAAAGGAAAGTTGACAAAGTTTTAAGGGACGGAGGAAGTATGTGTTAAATAAGAGTAAAAAAATAAATTGGAGTAATTATTAATTTTACACTCGTTATGTAACATGGGTACTTAAGGATGTTTTTATTTGATCTACAATTTTCTAGTCTGATCTAATATGGTCACGTTTAGTCTGTTTAGCAATGACCTGGGTTGGTAAATGTATATTTTATGTGTATTTCACAACTTTTGAAATCTGATTTGGTCTATTCAATTTGATTTAGTTCAATCTTGTTAAGTCTGATCTGATCTAATTTGGTCTACTAAACTAATACAATTAAAAACCTTTTGAGTCATTTGGAGTATAAAAGACTCATTAGTCATGAGTACAATATTAATTACTAGAGTAAGCCAAAAGGTAATTTTGGAAACAGTAATGCGGGGATCAGTATGAGAGTTTTTTCCGGATTAATGCTAATTAAACAAATAATTCCCAAAATACTGATACGTTAAAAATAATTCACCGAATACTGCCGGAGCTAGCCATGGTAAAGGAAAGCTATCAGTCCAAGTGGTGGATCTATAAGCCGTCATTACGAGTAACGGCTCTATTGTAAAGTTACAACACTAGCACAGCGTAATCAATTAAAAAAACACCTGCTCTTTACAGCCCAGTCAATTCAAAAAAAAATTGTTCTTTATAGTCAATATTCGAGTTTTTGCCACTTTTAGTCATACGACTATTATGCCAATAACACTTTTAGTACTCGACTTTGAGTTTTTCCACTTTTAGTCTGTCGACTATTGTGCGACAGACACTTTTGGTACCCGTCTTTGAAAATTTCCACATTTAGTCCTTTGACTTTCATAAAAGTGACACTTTTAGTCCTTCAACTATTATAATAGTGACATTTTTAGTCCTCCACTTATTGTATGAAATTTAGAATGAAAAGACTAAAAGTGTCAATTTTATAATACTCAGGGGACTAAATGCGGAAACTATTGAAGTCGAGGACTAAAAGTGTCTCTCGTACAATAGTCGAGGACTAAAAATGGAAAAATTGAAAGTGGAGTACCAAAAGTATCACTGCCCCAATAGTCGAGAGACTTAAAATGGAAAAAACTCATCAACATTCATTGCTTAAAAAAAATCTGAGACACAAAACGAATCAATGAAACTACATTGGAGATCACAATACTAGAAATATCAAATAAAGTTGATAATAAATCTAGTATTTAACAAAATAATTCAATCATCTAGTGCATGTTTCACACAAAAATGTACAGTACAGATGTCACAGGTCAAGTGATCATCATCATAAAGCTCATGTGGTTGGGCATGTGGTTGCGCTTGTGGTCGGGGCATCTGTGATTGTTACGAGGCTGAAGAACCACTCTATCACATCCTAGCACTTGAGAAGACCCTGCTGTGGATGTAGATGTCGTGGATTACTGAGAGGCGGCCATATATCCATAGTCTACTTGACCCAATACATCAGCACACAATGCAGTATTGCCTAGGCATACCTCATGATATCCCTGTACATCTACCCCCTCATCAAGTACAACAGACGCTCTATCATGAATGGTATGTAATGTCGTGTCTGTAATGCAAGCATGATTATTGATGACATACACATGAATAATAAATACATAAAGTGATTTTAGTGAATATATTGTGTACCGTCATATGAAGAGCGACTGAGCCAGGCTGGTAATGATTGGTGGGTAGACGAAAACTAGGAGAGATGAACATCAATGCGATGGTGTATTATCATCTCATGTAATCTGCAGGTACTGAAGGGACAATTGATGGGGTCTCGTGCACTATATGTGTCGCTCTCTCATCCCACACGGTGATATACTGACGCATCCCCCACTCTTCGGTATGTTTCCCTCGTTTTTTATATTGTGTAAGTCTATAGAAGTATCATAAGGTGCATGAATAACCTGGTGAAACCCGAATTGGCGTAATACGCGATCGGGGAAATGATGCTCCACTACATAAAAACATATCAAGGGCACATGTGCTCGCCATGTCTCAGTATGCTCTCGGGCAACAGGAACAATTATCCTAGAATCTAATGAGTGTATGGCATCCACGTCATATATAATACAAAATATTGTGACATCATAGTTTATAAAAACGTAAAATAAAGTACTTATACTTAATGATATACGCACATGTCATCTAATGGATCTCAATAGTACCCTAGTCCAATAGTGGATGACGTGCGAGTGACGTCAGCAAAAATCCATTTGAAACATACTAATGTACAAGAATATAAAATGGATTCAAGTACGTCATACATAAAATTGAAAAAAACAAAATTCATAAATGCAGCTACAACCTAAAGGGTTCTCTCCATAGACATGATGTGGTCCAAGTATAGACCGATCGTGCTGATCATGAAGAGGACCACCATCTACCCCATGATATCACAGTATGACAGGTCTGTCAATATAAATGTGCTCCCATGATCATAGCTGTATGAGCAATAAAAATCCACCTATCTTGCCATCGTCATAATGGCAACCTTGACACAACTACTGATATAGGTATGTAAAGTGGCACTACCCAACTATAAAGCGCTGATGCATCAAAAGTCTCCAAAATGGGTTAGTAAGAGACTCGCAGCCCATTACCGCTCTTGTCTACAAATGTAAAGGCTTCCATAAGCATCAAATTGTAGGCTCACATGTATCATTGCACTACGGTGTCATCACCATCAGCAGGTAAAGCAATAACATGCTCTCACAACCAAGCCATCCTCAAGATGGACCCTCGAATATCCGTCCTGTGCATGGGCGTACACCAAACAATCTGTGTACCTCATCAACCCACAGTCTACATGTAGTCCCAGTTATTGCCCGACCCTAGATCAGTATACCTGGCAATACAACCACATCTCCCAATGTGATCGTCACCTCACCCACGAGTACGAAATGGAAAGTGTGAGTCTCCTTTCTCTGACGCTCAAGTAGAGCGGTAAGTAATGATCTATCTAAATGTAAAGTTGAAACTAATTTGTGAACACCATAAAAACCAACCAATCGAATGTAATGTACAATCCTAACATCCACCTGCATGTGAAATATAGTATGTAGGTGCTCACGACACCTATCTACCTGAACATCCATGCCATGTCACACATCTGCGCTCCTGTGTCTGACCTGCAATGGTTAGAACTGAAGTATCAATCGGTCTGATCCACTGACGTCTGCATCGGCGCTATAATAATAATAATATACTTTCTCCGTTCTTAAATAAATGCAACGGTCAACATTTCACATTTGTCGAGACACAACTTTGACCATTAATATATATAATTCTGTATTAGTAAAAAAAATTTAAAAAAAATTAAATTTTGAAACTTTACAATGAGACAAATTTAACATAAAAAATATTAATACATTAATAAATAAAACGTAGTCAAAGTACAACATGTGAATATTGTAAAATTCAAGATGTTACATTTATTTAAGAACGGAGGTAGTATGTATTAGTTATTTGTTTGGCAGTTAAATGTTACTTTTTTTAATAGTGCTAATGCATTTGTGAATAAAACAACAACATTACCTAGTGGAATTCCCTACGTATCTCTGTGATCTTATAGCTCATGTCGCCCTATTATGTCTTGTTTGCTTGCATAATCCGTATCTCACAATACCTCTAGGACCTTCATTCATTTCATTTTTCAATCGTGTAGCCTTGGGATGAATTGAATTAAATCATACTCCCTCCGTCCCCTAACTTTGTCCCGTTTTACCTTTTTTACATGTCCTATTAAGTTTATCTTGTATTATATTTGGTAGTATTTAGGTGGTTACAATTCATTCTTACTTTATTTACACGTTATCAATTTAATACCAATCACATGGTTCCAATTTTTCTTAAAAACCGCACCACACTCTCTTGTCCCAATTTTAGTGGGACAGAGGTAGTATATCTCATTTTTACGATTTCATTCATATAAGTAATCAGATAAATACATATTAATAATGTACTACATTACTCTTTCTCAAACGAAGCCATATACCAAACTCAATCAACCAACACAATAAATAATTCAAATTCTACAAATTATTACGTTCAAACATACTAACAACTTATATATTTCATAACATCAAATAAAAAGCAAATAATTCAAAAAATGACAATTTCCAACAAAATTAAAAAAAAACAATTTTAGCAAAAATGATGAAATACCTCGATTCAAACGGTTGAAAGTCATAAGAATGGGGCACAATCGGTCTCGAGTACACCGTGCCTCTTTTCCCTTGATTTCACGGTTGTTTAGGACGATTTGCGACAAAAAATCGAACTATTGTCCCCTTTCTTCTCACAATAGTCGTTTGGGTGTGGCTTTAGTTGATCATCATCGGGGATGGGACGAAGAGGACTGCATTTGGTTAGAACATTCACTTCAAGTGACATGTTTCCTTAAACACGGTTAAACGAGTAGTATTTAAGAATTGTTTTTAACCCGTGGTATTTTGTGAATTACTCGTTCTATCCTCATATCTTTGTCCCGTTTTATCTTTTTCGTCTCATTAAGTTTCTTTCGTAACATATTTAGTAAAATTTAGATGATTACACTTCATTCTTATTTTATTCACACTTTATTAATTTAATATTCATAAAAAAATTACATTTTTTTCTTAAATGTCTTGCCCAAACATAATAAGAGGGAGGTAGTATGTACCGAGTATTTAATTAGCCGTATCCTCTAGAAAAAGGCCGTGTAGGATTCTTCCGGCAAATTTAGAGAAAGGGATAGGAGAGTTGTAGAAACTAGAAAGAAGCTCGAATCCTTTGGAGGCATCAGGCATGGCTGATAAATTGGCCCCTGAGAAACGTCACAGCTTCACCCACAACGGTACTCTTCCTGGTTCTCTCTCACTCAGTGGACATTAATTATTGTCCCCGTGATCAGCTGTGATTGCTAGGGTCTTGTGATTGATTTTTCAGATCAGAAGGTCTTCGAATGGGATCAAACGCTTGAAGAGTTGAACATTTACATCAATCTCCCGGAGAATGTTCCTAAGAAGCTATTCTATTGCACCATAAAGTCCAAACATTTGGAAGTTGGGATTAAAGGCAACCCTCCTTACCTTAGCGTCAGTTCTCTGTCTTCACTTTTTCTTTCTCAGGTGGTTTAAGCTCTAATTTATTGAGTATCCATATCACTAGACTTTTTATGTATGGTATGGGGTTTGCAGCATGATCTTTCCAATCATGTGAAGACCGATTGTTCATTCTGGACTTTAGGTAATGTTTCTATTTATTCGAATTAAATAATGATTACTGTGATGTTATAGATGTATTATTTTTAATGTTTGATGATTAAATTTTCATTTAATAGTACTAATTATTTTTCTAAAATAGAAATGATAACCTTTTTCTGGGACGTCCAAAAAAAGCATGGCAGAACGGCAGAACCTTAAGCTGGGACAGAGGGATTGCTATTTAGGGGGGAAACACAATACTCATATTTTTTAATTTCACACTGTTTTTAATTCTATATTCTATTTAGGGAAATTTCTAAATAAACTATGTAATTTTTTTGTTTTATTTAGTAAAACATTTGGGCCATGTGAAGTCTCTTCTTTGTGAAGGTCTTGCTAATAAAAATCAATATTATTTGCTTGGCGAGTATATATTGCCTTTTCAGTGCATCAAAACTAGGAAGTATTGTGAAGCAGTATGTGTATTGCTACAAGAAAGCTTGTATTTTTTTTTACTGATAAAGGTGTATCCTTGTTATCTAAATCATATCATTGAATGGTAATTGTTTGCGCAAGAGGTGAATGTTTTAGGGAAATCATCGGATAGCATGACAAACTGCAATTTATGCTTTAAATGTTTTTTTAATTTCATGTAGCTGTAAAAACAAATGATATCCTGCAGAGGATGATATAATGCATGTAACCCTTCAGAAGAGGGATAAAGGACAGACATGGCCTTCTCCTATCATGGGTCAAGGTCAGTTGGATCCCTATGCCACAGACATCGAACAGAAGCGCCTCATGCTTCAAAGATTCCAAGAAGAGGTACATACTCCAGACTTAATTTCTCTTCTGTGATTTCTTAGTTCCTATTTGTTTCTGGCCACATGAAGCCTCATGCTTCAAAGATTCCAAGAAGAGGTTCATACTCCAGACTTAATTTCTCTTCTGTGATTTCTTAGTTCCTATTTGTTTCTGGCCACATGAAGCTTCTTTTTTTATTTTCAGAATCCCGGCTTTGATTTTTCACAAGCTCAGTTCAGTGGCAATTGCCCTGATCCCAAGACCTTCATGGGTGGGATCCGATCGACTTAATCTTGGTATATGATTACTTGATGATTCAATTTCATTTTGACCAAGATTACCCCATTATCCCATAAAATCTTTGTTTACTACTTGTTGTCAATCCAAAATTTGATTTTCCGTTGTATGTCACCATGATCTTTGAAATGGAATTGATTGAACCTAACCCAATTCATGTTATTAACTTAAATATGTCTTGTGATGGGTAATTTTAGTAAATTGTAGGTACTTGTGACCACTACAGATAAGTCATTCTTAGGGACCACTAAAGCTTGATGTGGCCATATCAATTTAAATTTAAGCTTGAATATTGCCAGTCAGATTAACTAGTGGGATCACCTGGAATGATATAGAATTATAGACCTTCATTTTATCCAAGTTACTCCTTTAATAACAGATATTTTCTGCTTGGTGCATTCAGCACTCCTGGTTTTCTGGGGATTAGAGATATAAGTTTTTCTTTGTAGCTCATCACATGCATTATAAGTTTTACCCATGTGAATATGTGATCAGCTGTATAAATATGTTTGTTTTTCTTAATAGAAATCCATTATAACACAATCAAACCTATATGTATTTTCACTGTTTCGGCATATCGATAAGAGCCTAGTTAGGGACTGAAAGCTGAACTTTTATCTCTGACTTAGTTGTCGTTTAAGCTTCTAACTACGTGATGGACTTGAATATGGATGTTTTTACTTGGACTGAAATTTTCTGGTCTGGTCTGGTCTGATTTGGCTAGGTCTGGTCTGGTCTAGGAGGACTGAAAGCAGAATGCATACATCATAAATGCTTAATTGAGATCAAAATAATTTTTTGAGTCAAGCATTAACACATCCAGTTTTGACTAACTCAACTTCAAATTGATCCTTGCTTGGTTGATTTTAAATGTTTGTCAAGCCTCATTAGTTTTAAGGGTGTTTGATGGCAAACCCGACTCTTTTATTGAGGAAGTAGAAGATAAAAGAGTAAGATGGATAGAAGCTCTTCTTGAGGATTAAAAAGTCGAATTTGAAGAACCTAGGATACTAGCTTACAGTAAACTTATTTTAGTTCTGAATATTCCATTCCTTAAATGCCCTTCATCGGTACATACATACATACATCCTCCAGGTTTTTGAAAAACTTATTCTAGTTCCACTTTAAAAAAAATCATTCCAAAACCCCCTTGGAAGAATAATGTGCTTTGCTATGTTGAACTAATACTTCATTGGAAAGTTGTATTTTTGCATTTAATACTAATCCGCATTCAATTTCTTACTATTTTCACATGTAACGTATTAGCGTTGTGATTACGTGCATGTTTTTGCATTCTCCCAAGCTGGCGATCGTTGGTTGTTTATAATTGGTGGGTGTGTTAACGAAGTCTTACAAAAGAAAATCATATTTGTGGAATTGTGGTTGGTAAAAAAATACTTGCCAAACCGCGTATGCAGAAATCATTTACGACTAAAAAACGTTGGATATGCTAAAATATGACTTTTGTGTTTTTATTCCCAAAATATGGATAATTACTGTCATGTTTTGGAAGTATTAGAATTTAAACATCGCATTATTTTTCAAATTTGACAGTAACTACTCCTATTTTAGAAATAAAAACATGGTAGTCATATTTTCGAATTTTCAAACATAGAATTTTCCTTTTATCAAACTTATTTTAACATTTTGATATAGTTAGACCATTTGGTATACGGAGGGTAGTAAAAAGCTAAATTTGAGATTCACCTTAAAGTATTGTACAACCATGGAACATATTGGTATATGAAGGGTGGAAATGGTTAATTGGCACCCTTGGGGAGCTTAAAATTCGTGGGCTTTTCACTCCAAAAGTGGAGGAAGTCAGGGGAAGAAAGTAACGCAGTGCATTGGGAGAGAGATAAGAATTTAGAGATTATTAGATCAAATCCTAAACTGTGTGCACTTCTTTATACTTCTGTATTGAAAAGATCACTACATTAGGTTTTGACACAATATTGAGAGGAAATAGTAGGGGCAATGAATTGTGTAGAAAAAGTAGCAAAGAAAGTGAAAAAGTACGAAAGAGAAGATGACAAGTAGAGAAAGTAAGAATAATTGGATATTATTAAAGGAAAAACTTATCAAAAAAAAGTGTAGCAAACTTTTAAATACATCAATAAAAGGAAAATGTAGCAAACTTTTAATGCAGAGGAAGTATGAAGTAACAATTAGTCAATGCAATTTTTGATGTGATTTTCATCATAAATCATCTGGAAACAAACTCTTTGTACTGTAGTACAAGAGTAAAGTTGCATACATCCGACCCCCTTACTCCACTGTAGGTGTGATGGTCCCTGGTACAAGTGTAGAGTGGAGGGGGAGGGTGAATAGATTTTTAAATCTTTTCGATTTAAGATCTTTTTTCCTCTGTAATTTTTATCCTTAAGACCTTTTGAGAGGTTAGGATCAGCAGCGGAAGATATGACTTTTGGTAGACACACTCAGAGTTTTGAGAGGGTTGTTTTTCTTGAAATTGACGGGAAGAAAATCAGCAGGCTGCTAAAATACTTGTTTTTGAGGGAGCTGTTTTTCAGGGAGTTTGAGGAGGCTTTGATTTGTGATTAGTGACTTTAAGGAATATGACACACTAATGTATCCTGATTCGGAGGTGGTGTAATCCTGCTACATCCAGTCTCACCTTATAGTTAAATTTCCACTAAGCTATTAACCAATATACTTAGTGACCTTTTACCTTTGAGGCTTTGATCATAGGCATAAATTGTCATGTTTTCACAAGGAGTACAACCCACTTTAAGTTACTCTTGCCTCTAGGTTTTTCAGTAATGAACCAAACTGATTCAAAAGCTACTCATGTCCTAACTCCTAGGTTTTTCACTAATGAACCAAAATGATTCAGAAGCTACTCATGTCCTATTCTACTCACTCTTTGGATTTGTAGCACAAATTCTTCCAAAGGTGTTACAACTTCTTCCCAACTATTTTAAGCTCTAGCATGAATATTTCATTGTGAACTAGTCTAAGAGCTTAAAAAAATGTGAATGGGCTAAGAATAAAGTGATGAATTAGCACTTATTCCTTTGAAGAATTTTTTGAAAGTAATTGTCTTGATTGCACTAAGCTCACTGAATCTTCTTCATCACATCCCTTGGATATTTATAGACTTGAGGTTGTTGAATATCTCTCGTTGGTAGAGGAGATTCAATCTTGAATGTTGATGCATCCACTTGATCTTCAATCTTCGCCATGCTCTCTTTTTGTCTTGTCTTGGAGTAGCTTGAGTCTCTTTTTGTTCTTTTGTTTGAGCTCATGCTTTCACTTGTATCAAATAAGAAAGTATGGATTGACTTTTTCAGTCCACTTGTTATTTATAAGTCTAAGTGACTTTCCCTTCAAAGTCAAGTTGCAAATGTAAATACTTTTTACTTTGCTTTTTCACTGTGAGTAACTTCGAGACTTTGCTACGAATTTGTTCATGCAAATCAGTTGCTTGAAATCAGCAGGCTACCGATTTTCACTTCTTTAGTCAACTCTTTTTACCATCTCTTTTTATTTTCTTTGTTTTTGGTACTTTTTCTTTGTACGTACTTTCATATGTGAATTACAAAGTACATGATCAAATTTTTAGTCTATAATATGTGCATCATCAAAATCTTAGAGGGGCCTAACAAGGTGGGAGGGGGCATAGGCAATGGAGCATGCACCCGGGGTCCATTGCTCACCTAGGACCCATAATTTTCCAGTTATATATACATACACACACACATACATTATATATATATATATAAATTATATATACATTATATATCTATAAAAATTTAAAAATAAAATAAAACTTAATCTTTTTTATACTTCTAATTCATTATTTAACCTCTACAAGTTATAAGTAAAATTTTGAAACATTCACACCCAAATTCCTTGGTAATGGACATTTTAGTGAGTCTTTGACTCCGTTGGGGGCGAAGGGTTAAAATTCTAGTCTCCTCTTTTCTCCTTAATATTTTTTTACTCTTAAAGATGAAAAGAATCTCCTTGACCAATATTTTCAAGTTATTGTATGTGCTTCCTTCTTGGTGATGTCTAGGTTTATGTATTTCTCATCATGGGACTTGGTCATGGCCAATATTTTCAAGTTATTGTATGTGCTTCCTTCATGTGTTGAAATTTTGTTGTTAGTGGTTGACAATAGTTGTCTTGTTTGATTTTTATGGGAAGATAACTTCAGACATCTGCAGCTTCGGGACCTCATCAATTATTCGCTCTTTCTTCTGAACCACTGTCATACTATGCGAGAATGATAGTGCTTCATCGAATTTTCATTTCGGTGGTTGATCAAATCGATGATATTGATTATTTTTTCTTAGTGGTTGGTCAAATTGAGGATTACGGTGAACCGGTTTATATTATGCATTTTCTATCACAAAGTAGTTTTGATTATTAATTTAGTAACATGAGCTTTTATGTTGATAGAACAATCTACATTTCTACGGAGTTGGTGAATTGTTATGTCCTTTGGAACTAGTTAGTTCTATGTCTCATTGTCTCAGCTTTAATTATCTGAATTGCTTTAGAGAAATGGTTACAAAACTACAATAAAGCACTATTTAAATTTAAATAGTGAACGAGAACTTATTTTGGGATGGAGATAGTGTTACATTTTAAATTAACACAAATAAAACTTACTATCCGTTGTGAAGGTTAGGCATATATGGTTAGGGGTGGACTCGGCCCGGGCCAACCGGCCCGGAACCGGACCGGCCCGCTACTGTGCGGGCTCGGACCGGCCCGCTACTGTGCGGGCTCGGACCGGCCCGGTGAACCGGTTGGTTGGCCGGTTCGGGTCACCCGGCCCGGTGGGATGTCGGTTCGGGCTTGTGCCCTTCAAAAGGTGAACCGGCCCGGCCGGTTCGGGCTCGGGTCGGGCCAATTTTTTTTTTTTTTGAATTTTTTTTAAGTTTTTGGGTTGGGCTGGGTATTTTGGGCCATTTGAGGTGGTTAGGGTTGGTTTGGGGGTGAGGGGGAGGGTTGGTGGTTAACTAGGAAAAGCCAAAAAAAAAAAAGAACTGAGGCCTGGACCCGGGGGTTACCCGGGCCGGTTCCGGGCCTCCCCTTCATGAACCGAGGCCCAGCCGGACCCAGGCCCGAACCGGAACCTGTCCATCCCTATATATGGTTCCATGGAGGGTTGAAATTGGGTTCACCTCTTTATAACATTCCATAATCAAATAGGAATTCCACTCTAAATCAGAAACCTCTAGCAATGGCCTAATTCTAGTTCGTCTATGTATGGGATAAAATTAGACAATTTTTGTGAGTTTTTTTCGGACTAAGAGTACTTTTCAAACATATTTCCCAACTAGACTAAGTATACTTTTAAATTTATTTCTCAAATGATGGTACTTTTTACAACGTCATCCCATTATTGGTGCAACTATGGTAATGTCACATCAGCTATTCCACATCATGCAGTAATTCCATGTCATCCAATTTAAGTGTTTTTTTAATTAGAATATGTAGTCTCCAAAGATCGACCCGAGACTAGAACCTGTTACTACCTCTCTTTTTTCGATATTTGAATGACATAGTTTAAACATCAAGATGAGCTAGCTTTTACCGGGTATTTATTGTTCCATATATTACTTCTTTCATAAAAAATTAAAAAAATAATCAAGATGAGCTAGCTTTTACTGGGTATTTATTGTTCCATATATTACTTCTTTCACAGAAAATTAAAAAAAAATAATAAAATGCTTAATTTGAGATGTTCAATTAAGAAATAAAAACCTAATAAAAATTTATAAAAAACTTAATATGTGATATTTAATTAAAAATAATTTCAAATAACTCAACTAAAACAATAAAAAATAAGTAAATTTCATTCTAATCCGTAGCCCACTTCAAATTAAAAAAAACATTAGTGTAATATATTGTAAAAGTTTTGCTTTACGATAAACTCCTTATAACACTCAACTCGGCTTGACTCGGCCTCCGTTTGAATTTTTTTCCTGTAAGAAAAATATTTTATACCGGCTCAACTTGGCTCAATTCGGCCTTAGATTTATTGATTGAATTCAAATATAATGCTCGAATTTGAGTTAAATTATTACATGTTATGTTTTAGTTAAATTTGAAATACAAAGATTTTGACTCCAAGTGTAAACTTTTACTTGCCTGTGTATTACTCGTTCATTTAGAGATATATAACTTCTTTCTGAAATACTTAAATAATAAAATAATTTTTTAATTTGAGATACTCAATTAAAAAATAAAAACCTAAATAAAAATTATAATAACTAAATGACATGAAAGGCTCTAGTCCACCCCAATAAAAAATCGATATTGTTAATGTGAAAACAATTGTGTGAAAATTTATCTAAGAAAAAAGTTCTTTATTAAGTAATATAAGAACAAAATCTTAATTAATAATATAATAAAAACTTCTTGGTACTAAGCAAAATAATGCTAGTTTTATTATCCTGAACTAAAAAGATGTTATTCAAATATGTAAAAAAAGATAATAGGTACCACGTGAAGACTCCAATGCAGTGATGAGTAAATTCCTAAACTAGGAGTAAATCATAACAAAAGTGCAATAATAGGAGTACATTGTTCCGTGTGATATCATAGGAGTAAAAAGACATGACTGGATAAAACTGCCCTTAATGAAAACCCTAATTATATTTATTAAAAATGTAAAATAGAATAATAAAAAGGCTGTAACATAACGATAGCATAGCCTCTTGCGCTAGCACCACCCACCACCTACACTAGATGTCGGCGCCGCCTGACACCAACATCACCTCGCAGCCGATCGGTCTGCCGCTGGACGCCGCCACCACCAGTCACGGCCGCCGCCTGCTGCCATCTGCCGCCACCGCCGCCGGTGGAATTCATGTAACACCACCACGTTTTGCTCCATCACTGTCCATCTAAAATATGTGCAACTTTGTAAATGTAATCTAACCATTTGAATGTCATTTGTATATACCCGAGTATATTAAAAACAGAGGATATGAATTTTCTGGTCATCTTGACCTTTTCTTGTCATTATAAATAGTGTATTTACAAGGGTATAATATTGCCATCATTGTGAGTTATTGCCATATAATTGGCACTATTGGTGTTAAAACATGACATTATTAGTATTGTAATTGCCATATTGTTTTTTAAAAAATGGCACTATGTGCGAAAATAATATTTTTACCTAGAAAAATGGCATTATGTGCTGAAATCACAAAAGAACTCAAGAAGAGGAATCTGAAATTTTTATAAAATGTCAAAAATTATAATACATATTGTAAAAGATAAAATTTCAAAAGAATAAAATCTTGATGAAAAATTTAAAGTCAGAATCGAGAAGAGAGCAAGAAAACGGTTTGATTGAAACAAATCATGAAAGAGAAAAAAATTGAAGTAAAAATCAGTCAAAAAGGGGTAAATAGGCAGCAACTTCACGCTGCAAAAAAGGGGGAAATAAAAAGGAAGAAGAAAAAGAAGAGAGAAGAAGGGAGAAGGAGATGATACAAACTAACCTGTGATGATCGACGCTCTTGAATTCTTGATCGGAGTTGGTGAGAAAGATTAATTTGTAACAGTAGAAGAAGGAGAAGGGCTAGTGCTCTTACAATGATGAATTGAAAGAGAACGTGCAAGTGATGCGTGTGGCAGGAGAACAAAAAGAAATGAGTGGAGATAGAGGAGATAGAGGGTGGGAGGATAAGACTGACGCGGAAAAAATTCAAAAGAAGGGTATAATTGGAAAAGAAATTGCACGGCCAAATAGTTAACTCCTATTTGGAGAATAAATCAATATGAACTCCTAATTTGGAACTTCTTTATTGTTTTACTCCTATTTAGGGTAAATACTTATGCAGTGATCTACTCCTAACGACTTACGTGATCAATCCCTTAAGATGTCTAGTTTTTAATTTTTTCAGAAAAGAACCCTTAAACACTTAAATTGGATGACATGAAATTGTTGCGATGATGTGGAATTGTTGGGATGATGACATGGCGGAAAGTACACCTTTTTGGGCAATAAGTTTTAAAGATAATCTGAAGTTTGAGATTAATTGGACCTTAACAACCCATTTTCATCCTTAGGCGTGGTTTTTATTTAGTTGTATGTGTTTCCTTTTGAAATGATGAAAATCTTAGCACCGAAATCAAACAACTGTATAAAAGCTTTCACACTATCCTACATAGGAATATGAGGCATTGAGGGTTTCTTAAGTACTTAAACTAATTGAAAATTTTATGATAACATATTCGTAGCACTTTTTTCTTTTGTATTTATCCTGAGTGGAGAATAGAGGAATTTAGTGTTTCAAGAATTATTTTGAACGATATTTGCTTTGATAATTTCCATCATTTGCAATGGAGCCAAAGATTCATTATTTTTTGGCTTTAGATTATGATAGAATAAAGCGAAATGGCTCACTAAACTGTATGCGTTTCTTTGTTATGGAGCAGCAGTCAGTCAATGCAATTTTGGACGTGATTTTCACTATGGGGTAAGACTGCGTACATCGACTCCCCCTTACCCCACCGTAGGTGGGAAGCCTTTGCGGCACTGGGGTAAATGAAAATGATGATATTTGCTTCGATAAATTTGAACTTATCGAAGGACATTTATTTTTTACTTCTCCTCCTATCCTCCCACACATAAAAAACTATGATGATTTTCTAAACTGAAGATTTGCAAAATTTATATATGAAATGTTCATTCTAAAGAAATTAAATGGTGAGAAGTTAAAATTTACATGTAATAATTATAACAGATTAACAGAGCATCTTTTGTATAGAAGATGAGACAATCATCAACGGTGGCGGTCAAAATCTTTGAAGGCTGCGATTTCGAAGATTATATCGTCTCACCGTTGAAAATGAACTACTATTATTTTCTACTAAAGAATTTTCTGAAACTTCTTGTTCTACAGGCAACAAATAGTCAGGGTCTTGTAAACTATCAACCTCCTCTTGCAACTCTTTCTCTAACCATGAACACCACTCCACTTCACTCTCTGAATCGCTATCCATCTCCCATGATATCTGCTTATGTGCCTGAATGCCATTCACTTTCTCCATCAATGTCAAGAGTATGTGATGGTTCAGCACCTCATAATCCCTGTACATTTTAGTTGCATTTGGAAATAAATTAGTCCAAGACCTATTTGTGTATTTTAAATGTCATCCAACACCTATGAAGTATAAAGATACAAACTAATATGTAAGGTTATATTTACTTTTCTTATCAATCTATTTAAGCATTTGGAATGCCAACTCTTAATATGTTAATTTGTACTCTTATAAGTGACCAGTGTGAAATGACACAATAAATCAAAATTGGCTAAAAAATTAGTATATTAGAACATACCGGTAAGTCCAGACTGCATAGAGAAGCTGGATTGATGCCAAAGCCACATAAACAGACCTGATCATGCCTACGATCCAAGCCTGCTTCTCCATTTCATCTGTCCCATATCGAACTATACAGAACTCAATCAAGAATGTAACACACAGCCCTGAAAAATCATAGGAAATAAATTAGTTAGACCACTTTGTTTAGCATTAGAAATGATTCTTAAAACGAGAAGGGAAATTCTTGCGTATAATGTTGTACCTATATAAAGGCGAGGCCGGACGTTATAGGTCTGTTTTGTACTGGTGAGCATGTAGAGGAGAAAGATTGACAAGGAATAAACCAGGAAGGCTTTCATCAACCTCGATTCCAAGAGAATAGCATTATGTAATGCAAAGAGCTTGTCTATAGCCACAAACATGCTTGCCTGTTTGGACTCAAATGCTTCCTACAACACAATTCATTTTTCATTAAGACCTAATCATGTGATAATATTGATCAAGATCAAAGTCAGAACTAGTTTCATACTCACCTGAGCTGCCAAGATTATTTTTGAGTTCTCAACAAGGTGATCATGAGCATGTTGAAGCATTTCTTGCTTTCTAAGCAATTCCTCCTGTTGTTTTTCTCCGGTTTCAGCTAATCGTTGTAAAGTTCCTCTATAGACCAATTCCAAAAAAACGCAACATTAGATAAGAAAATAAAATGGCCAGAATGAGTACAAAAATATATACATGCTAAATTCAGTACAAAAATATCACAACAACAACAACAACAACATCCAAGCCTTAATCCCAAAAGAATTTGGGGTCGGCTAACATGAATCGATCTATGATATCGATGATATCGACAACATCCAAGCCTTAAATTCAGTACAAAAATATCATTCTAAGAATTTAACAAACAAACACCTAATACTTACATGTTTTTTATATATCTCACTGATGTGCGAGAAACAACTAATGGATTTTATTTAAAACAACAAAAACTTTAACAAACGAAAAGACATTATTGATTCAGTTTTACCTGCTTTCTTCAAGAGCTTGAGACTGGAAGTTGGTGAGAATATGAAGGCCATCAAGGGCAGCAGACTGGATGTCCAGGAGTTCTCTCTGTTTATCTAAAGATACCCCAGCAATAACTCCAATATCATCAGCTTTACTCTGAAGAATTCTCATTTTTGAATTCATTTCCTTACCAACTTTACCAATCTCCTTCTCAATCTCCTCAGCCTCACTCTTCAACTCATTCATCTCTTTACCAAGGCTACTATAAGATGCTTGCAGAATCTCCATTCCCTCCACTAAATTCATCTTCATATGTGCCTGTTCATCGGATAACTCCTTTTGAGAGGCCTCGATGGACTTGGAATGCTCATGGATTTCTGTTGAATGAGTTAGGATAGCGTTCACGTGTTCTTCCACATTCTTGGAAGCCTTTTCTAGGTTTTGTGCTCTTAGATCAACCACGGATAATGAATCTTGGATTTCATTCGAGTTCTGCAATAAAACTTGCCCGTGCGCGCCTCTATGTTTTCTATCTTTTCCTCTGCGTACTCTGCCGTTTTCTTCAAGTCATTCACCAATTTCTCTGTTTGATATTTAAATGCATCCATCCTGCATTATATACATGTCATTTTAAGTATTGAGAATTAAAGTACTATCATGTAAGTCCAACATAATATAAGGAGTAAGTTATGGTCTTTTTATATGACTATTTTTATATACGTCTGATGTAAATGGTATAGAATGCTTGATGAGAGTACACAACAAGTATTGAGAATTAAAGTACTATCATGTAAGTACACAACAATTACTCGTTTGAGCTTTATTGTCTTTATTTGGATGCAATTCATAAAAGTTAGTTAAAGGAATTGTATTTGTTCAATATACAATGGCTTGCGACTAAGTTCACCTGAGTTTGACTCTAATATACATATATATAGTAGATTATCAAGAGACAAAGTGGAGAACTAACTGAAGTTGGTGGCAAATGGAGTTGGTTTCAAGAAAGAACTCAAGGTAAATCTTGTGAGAAAGATCATCCAAATTCCTGAGGCAATGGTTCATGGGAAATTTGGGGTCGCAGAATGGAAAAGAAGACCGGGCAGAATGTTTCTGAAAGCAATCACTAAGATGCCACGCAAGACGGGACCTTAGCTCATCATCATAAAGAGCCTTTGAACACTCCGCAAATACACTCTGATAAGCCCTTTGCCAACAAGAATCCGGGCCAACCATCAACATTTTCTGCCTTGCGTTTTCCACTAATTTAAGTCCTTTTGCATTACTGAAAGGCTCCATGGAGAAACTTGATGAAATTTTTCCAGGAAGTTGTTTTTCTTCTTCCTGATTCTTAGCTGAACCAAAGAACCAGCCTCCCCATGACAAGCAACAACATTGTGACAACAAAATGAGAAACCAAAGCAGCTTATGATTTTGCCCCATTCTTCTATTTGATTGAATCTGCACCAACACCAAATCTGAACTTTTTAACACAAACAAATCACTATCTCTAGCAAGTTGTAATTATTTCTATTATACAAATACTAAACATTCCATTCTAGCAAGTTGTGCTTTTTTTGGGAAAAAAGCACAATATTTTTACTCATACAGTTATACCAATATGAAGTGGCATTATCACTTCATAGATGTAGCATGAGCAAGTATGACTTGGTTTTACCAGGCACGGGTCACATGAAAGTATTTGTTAAATTTAGCCGATGTGGAGACATTTGGTTCATCGACCTTAGTTATGCATATTGTACATGACGCTCTCTTCCAAAAAATAATGATCATCATCATCATCATCATTACCCCAGTGCCGCAAAGGCTCCCACCTACGGTGGGGTAAGGGGAGGTCGGATGTACGCAGTCTTACCCCTGTACTAAAATACAGAGAGACTGTTTTCGAATGACCCATAGTGAAAATCGCGTCGAAAAATACATCTAATGTTTTCAAATGATTTCACTTGCACACCTTATCTGATGTTTTCATATAATTTGAGTTGCAAACCTGATCAAGGACTCAACTCTTTCTGTAAATTAACTAGTTTCCCCTTTTCACTAGGAAACCACTAAATCATCAACCCAAACTATAATATAGAGTCATACACTACTCGTACAAAACACCAAACAATGTAAAACACAACCAAATAATATAGTCATATAGGGTTAGATCAACATAAAACACAACCAAATAGGAAAGCGACCATACATTCATGAGTCATATATATAAATATTCAGTGGAAGGTACTAAAAGGTCTGGAGTAACTTGTTGATTCATGAACAGTTTCTGCCTCTACAAATTTCAGGTTACTTATTGATACCAGTGTATCTCAATATTATTGTTATTGTTATACTAGTATGAACAATAGTATATTACTTGAATATGGGGCAAGTAACAGAACTATAATACATAATCAATGAAGAAGGATCAAACAAAATACTAAGGTTGTACGTGAATCTCATATTGGTTTTTAAGATTAAAAAAAAAACCTTAGATGTTTTATTTGCATTTTCAGATACCTATTGAAAGATACTTGAACATTGGATTATTAAATTATACTACCTCCGTCCCGATAGACTTTGCACTCTTTGAATTATGTGAGAAATAAGAATAGTAAAAATTGTGTGGTTAAAGTTTGTACAGAGGAGAGAGAAATGAGCAGAACCACAAAATAGTTACTTTATTGGGAAAGTGCCAAAGTTTTTTGGGACAACAAAAAAGGTAAAGTTGGCAAAGTCCAACGGGACGGAGGGAGTACAACTTAAAACGGAATGCATGATTGAAGTAGTTTATTGATATTAAAAAACAAAGGAGAAATAAATGAATGATTTTTTTATATTGAAAAAGAAAATTGTTAGTCTCTTAAGATGACCAAAAATCGTTGGTTGTCAAATTTTGACTCACGCATAACCACAATTTAAATTTGGGTCTTCTGGCATTAACTAAAATGAACAAAAACATGATGCCATTAATATTATAATAAAATTTTCTTTTTATTCATCTCTATGTTAAATAAGTGTATACAGAGAACATACATGTCACTGTTGTACAATTTTTTATAGCATCATAATTTGAACTAACACTTTTGGTGTTTCTTTCCTTTGTTTTTGTTAGAAGCGGCTGAGAGTTCTTGGAAGGTGTCCAACCACTATTGGTGTTTCTTTACTTCGTTTCTTTGTTTTGGTTGTTTGGAGTTTTTTATTAATAGGTCAATCAATAAAACAAATGTAATAAAACATAATATTAGTTGTGTGAGTAGTCATTATTAAAATATACGTAGTAGAAGCTAACCTTTATCTTTTGGCAACTTTTTTTGCTGTCTGGGACAACATGCGAAATACAAATTAGATGTGGTGTTGAGTACAATGACTTTAGAACTAATTGAAGTGGCTTAATCTTCATATTTTTAAAATACATTCAAAAACACATACTGTCAAATTTTCAAAATGTCATTTGACATAACCTCGAATAATAGCTACTCCGTAATATATTTGGCTATCTGTAGTGTTTGATTCATCTTAAGTGATATCCTGTTATTTATTAGTTCATGAAATTTTAGAGAAGGGCATAAAATTTAAAATGTTAAGATATGATTCACATTGTTGGTCAAATGAGTAATGTTTACAGCAATTTTTCTTAGCTGACAATAATTATCATTGTATGTGATACGACTTCCTCAACTCAGTATCAATCACAATACAGCTAAGAACAAGGTAAGAACACAAATTCTCATTGACAGACAATTTGTCTAAAGACAATTTGTCTAAAAACAGCCTGCCTTCCTACAGCAGAATTATTCTATTTATATCCTTCTACAAACAGAAGGTAGTTATTAGTTACTTAACAACTTTTAACTAATAACCGCTAGTCTAGTTTAGGCCTTCTAGAATATACTCTCCCGAATCTTCTATTCTGATTGCTTAGACTAACTGGATCTCTATCAATACCCCCTCCTTGTAGAACCAACTTGTCCTCAAGTTGAAAGTCAGGGAATTGATCTTTGATCATGTGAATATCCTCCCATGAGTCTTCAAAATCAGGAAGGCCCTGCCAATGCACTAGGACCTCCTTCTTCCCTTCCTGATTCAGCCTACTGTCTCTCACAGCTTCAGGTCTCACTTGCAACTCACAATCTTCTGTGAGGCAATCTGGGAGGCTTTGATAAGCTACGGTGGGTTTCAGCACCTTCTTCAACAAGGATATGTGGAATACAGGGTGTATTCTACTTCCTTCTGGCAACCTTAATCTGAAAGCAACCTTGTTTATTTTCTCTGAAATTTCATAAGGGCCATAAAATCTGGGACTCAGCTTTTGATTGATTCTCTTGGCCAAACTTCTCATTTTATAAGGTTGTATCTTTAAGAAAACTTGATCTCCCACTTCCAATTCCTCTTCCCTCCTGTGTTTATCAGCTTGTTGCTTCATCAAATTTTGTGCCCTGGCCAAATTCTCCTTTAGTTCATTCAACATCCCATTCCTCTCAGCAGTCATTTTAGTTACTTCATCTACTGAAGTTATACTGATGATAGCAGGAGGTGATTGTCCAAATAAAGCCTGATATGGAGTGCTTTTCAAAGAGCTATGATAATTAGTGTTGAACCAATATTCTGCCCATGGAAGCCATTTAATCCATTGCCTAGGTTTCTTCCCACTTAAACACCTCAAATATGTTTCTAGGCAACGATTCACCACTTCAGTCTGCCCATCACTCTATGGATGGTAGGCAGTACTATATTTGAGCTTTGTTCCAGCCAATCTGAACAACTCTGACCAGAAAGAACTCAAGAAAAGGCTGTCTCTATCACTCACAATGGATTTTGGAAATCCATGTATTCTCACTACCTCCTGAATAAAGATTTCAGCCACTCCTTTGGCATTATAGGGATGTGCCAATGGTATGAAATGTGAAAATTTTGTCAATCTGTCAACCACCACCAAAATAGTGTCTTTTCCTTGTGATTTTGGTAGACCTCCAATAAAGTCCATGCTAATATCAGTCCACACTTGTTCAGGTATGGGTAGAGGTTGCAGCAATCCTGCAGGCTTTAAGACCTGATATTTATTCCTCTGACAAGTGTCACACCCTTGAATATAATCCTTGATGTCAGTTCTCATCCCCACCCAAAAGAATAAATTGGAAATCCTCTTCATAGTCCTGAAATACCCTGAATGACCCCCTATGGCTGAATCATGGTATTCTTTGAGAATGATCAAAATTCTGTGGGATCCCTTTGGTAAAATCAACCTCCCTTTGTAATAGAGTAAACCTCCTTTCCTCTTATAATCTGGATATTTATCTGGTTGAATTAACATCTTCTGCATGGTCTCCCCCCATTTAGGGTCCTTTTCCAGTTCTTCTTCCAGACCCTCCCACTCCTGACAAGTTACAGTAGATATGGCTGCATATGTGTATTTTCTGGATAAGGCATCAGCTGCCTTATTCTCAATCCCTGGTTTGTATCTAATGGTGAAGTTGTAACCCATCAATTTGGCTATCCATTTTTGTTGATCTTCTCCCATAGCCTTTTGCTCAGTCAAATATTTCAGACTCCTCTGATCTGTATGGACCTCAAAACTCCTTCCCAAAAGATAAGGCCTCCACTTTTGAATAGCAAAAACAATAGCCATTAATTCTTTTTCATACACAGATTTATTCAAGTATTTGGGAGATAACTGTTTGCTCATATAAGCTAGAGGTCCTCCTTCCTGCATCAATACAGCCCCTAATCCTTTTCCTGAAGCATCAGTTTCAATCACAAACATTTTATTAAAATCAGGTACTCTGAGCACTGGCAAGGAAATCATGGCCTCTTTCAGATTCTGGAAAGCCTCAGTAGCCATCTCATTCCATATAAAACCATCCTTCTTTAAAAGCACAGTAAGAGGAGCAGCAATCTTGCTATATCCCCTTACAAACCTTCTGTAATACCCAGTCAGACCTAAGAACCCTCTGAGTTCCTTCAAATCTTTAGGGACATTCCAATTCTTCATAGCTTCAATCTTTTCAGGATCAGCTGCCACACCATCTTCTGAAATAATATGTCCCAGATAATTCAGTTGTCTTTGGCCAAATGAGCACTTCTTTTGATTTGCTACTAAATGGTTCTTCTTCAAAGCTCCCTGAACCTTTCTTAGGTGTTCTTTATGTTCTTCCTTAGTTTTACTGTAGACTAAAATATCATCAAAGAACACCAAAGCAAATTTTCTCAGAAAAGGCCTTAGAACCTCATTCATTAGTGACTGAAAAGTGGATGGAGCATTAGTCAGCCCAAAGGGCATAACTAAATACTCATAATGGCCCTCATGGGTCCTGAAAGCTGTTTTATGTGTATCACAGTCTTTCATCCTGATCTGATGGTAACCTGCCTTGAGATCCAATTTTGAAAAAATTCTGGCACCACCTAACTCATCCAAAAGCTCTTTTTACTGGAATAGGAAACTTATCAGGAATAGTAACCTTATTCAAAGCCCTATAGTCTCCACAAAACCTCCAACCCCATCTTTCTTTCTAGCTAATAGAATGGGGCTACTATACGGGCTATTGCTGTGTTTAATAATTCCAGATTTCAACATTTCTGCAATAATCTTCTCAATTTCATTTTTCTGATCAAATGAATACCTGTATGGTCTGATATTAGGTATCTCTGCTCCTTCTTTAATATTTATGGCATGATCACAGTCCCTTGCAGGTGGAAATTGTAGTGTAGAGCTAAATACTTCTGTGAATTCAGCTATCACTTCTCCCCACTCAGTTTCCCTGTCATCTATATCAGTCAGTTTCCCAGATTCTCCTTCACAGTACAACAAGAACCCATCACCTTCCTGATGTAATATGTGACCCATAGTCTTCAAAGTCACCTCCATCTGATTAGCATTTGGATTTCCCCTTATGATGTATGTTTCCCTTTCCTAATTCCACTTTAGGATTTGATGCTTAAAGTTTACCTCCATGTCTCCCAAACCAGTCAGCCATTCCATTCCCAACACTATATCCACTCCTCCCAATTCCAAGATGTAATAATCTTGTTGAATCTGTACTCCCTGAATTTCCAATTCTGCCAATGAACATCTGCCCCAATTGGGTATACATTCACCATTCCCAATCTGGACCTTATAACCCTTAATTGGATTGTAAGGTATGTTTTTGCTCTCCACCAGATTTCTGGACAAGAAATTGTGTGTAGCACCACTGTCTATTAACACAGTGACCTCTATCACTCCACCCATCCATTTCATCTTCCCTTTCACCTTGAAAGTAGTCATAGAAGATATGCCTTCCTTACTTAAGACTGAGAGTTGCATGTTCTTGTTATCCATTTGATTGGTAGTATTTATGAGTTCTTCTACTGTTTCTTCTCCCTCAATCTCTGAATTTTCTTCCCCTTCAGAATCCTCTACCAAAACCATCTTGTAGTTTTTCATCTTACAAGCATGACCTCTGCTCCAATTCTCACCACATTTAAAACACAAACCCTTCTTGCTTCTCTCCAACAACTCCTCTTGAGATAATCTGGTCCCCTGTCTTTTTTCAGAAACTTCTTTAACTTCTGACTGCTTTCTGATTTCACTGGCCCCTTTGTTTACTGTACTGGAGTTTCTCATAGGTCCTGGATAGCTTCTCCATTTGTTATTTTCATTCCAACTCTGTCCTGGACCCTGAATGATAGTTCTGCCTTGTCCCTTCTTCTTGTTTTCCTCCTTATTCTTCATTAAAACTGCCTCCACATTCTTGTTTTCAATCAATGTTGCTTTATCCATCACTTCAGCCAGTGTCCTGGTCTTATAGAGCTTCAATTCTGCTCTAATATCCCTTTTCAGCCCTTTTAAGAACACACCTTTCAACACTTCTTCAGATAAATGTCCCTGGGATGCAATAGTTGTCTCAAATAGATCTCTATACTCGGATATAGATCCCTTCTGTTTCAGACTAAATAGAGGCCCCAAAGGATCCTGAACCAAGTTAGGCTGAAATCTCCTGGTCAACGCTCGTGTAAATGAGTCCCAATTCAGATGTTGTGCCTGTCCCTCCCACCATTGGAACCAGCTGAGAGCTTGGTCTTCCAATGCGATGACCGCTACATCCAATTTATCTTCTTCTTCTGTCCGATTCAATCGGAAGTATCTGTTCATCCTTAACAACCAACCAGAAACATCCTTCCCGTTGAATAGGGGCAAGTCAATTTTTCTTGTTGTATGGTTCTGATTTCTATGATTCCGTCTAGGTTCGTAATTGTGTTGCGAGACGGAATTGTTAACTGCATCATCTGAACTATCTTCTTCTCGCGGATTCCTCTGATGAGCTGTTCGCTGTGAGTTGTTCGATCGTCGCGATTGACTCCGAGATCGATTTATCATCTGAACGTGTAATTCAGCGATACTAGCTTGCATCGCAGTTTGCATCGCTGCAATATTCGCAGCTAGATTCTCCATACTCGTTTGTATCTCACGTTGACCTCGCTCAACGTCATTCATTCTCCCTTCCATTTTCTTCCTCGTGCCAACCATTCACCACGGCAACCAGTCTCTGATACCAATGATACGACTTCCTCAACTCAGTATCAATCACAATACAGCTAAGAACAAGGTAAGAACACAAATTCTCATTGACAGAAGGTAAGTCGTATACAGCCTTTCCCAAGAAGGAGATAAAACTCCAACTCCCAGTTCCAGACAATTTGTCTAAAAACAGCCTGCCTTCCTACAGCAGAATTATTCTATTTATATCCTTCTACAAACAGAAGGTAGTTATTAGTTACTTAACAACTTTTAACTAATAACCGCTAGTCTAGTTTAGGCCTTCTAGAATATACTCTCCCGAATCTTCTATTCTGATTGCTTAGACTAGCTGGATCTCTATCAGTATGAGGCTTAAGAGTCTGATCCGGGCTTTAAAAGTGTCCTATATAAAAAGAATTCAATTTGTCAAAACCAAATTGACATTTGGTTTCAAAACATCTATAAGCGCAGGCTGAATAGAGGCAAGAGGAGATGTATTAATAAATACAATTTAAGTCAATAAATATCAATTACAACATTGTCTTGAATAGGAAGTAATACACTGTCAATTAACAAGAAGAACACATAACATATGGTAGATGTGTCATAGTTCGCGATACATATTGCAGGTTGAGGTGTGCTTTATAACAAGCCTATCAAATGTGTTTGAGTTCAATACAAGTAACATGTTTACAGTTGAACTTTATGAATACCATAAAGTTGAAAAATGTGTGTGTGACATGGTTACTTCGTTCATATTTAGAATACAAAGTGGAAACATAAATTAACATGTTTATTGCAGGGAAAATAATTAACAGTATACATATATGAGAATTAGATTTTTTATTTACTTCTTGAAACAGTTTATTCAAATATACTTTCATGCTTGTAGGACTTAAATATGGAAGATATTGTTTAGTCTCAATTCTGAATTCAAACAAAAAAAAACACTTGCTGGTCTTGTTCTGTTTTTATTGATCTAAATTCAATCGTAATAGTTATAGTTATAATGATACACAGAAGACTTTTAAATCTCGACTAAATGCATTGACTGCAATGGTAAACCTAGAGAAACTTTAATTATTGGTGAAAGAGGTTTCACAGATCGGTTAAAACTGTAGTTGTTGTTTTTTTATTATTAATTGTCCTCTTGTGTGTAATGGTTGTAAAGTGTCTGCAATGATTCAAACAGGTTGGTTGTTTTACAATCTGTAATTCCAACTATAATGACATTTTGTATTTAGGAAATCTATAAGGTGTTTATGGGGTTTTCAATGGTTTAGTTGAGTTAGTTTATACTTTGTATTAATGTAAATGCCCTGCCTAAGGAACATTGCTCACCAGGATACAAATCAGGCTGGTCCCAACCCGTCTACCAATGTCATTTCATGAAGATGGACACTGGCTTGGGGGCGAGCGCCTATCCGATATATAATCAGTACAGCCGGTATACAAATTTATCACTATGATAAATCGTTCCACCCTATTCTCAGCTCTACTACGATTAGTGCCTCTCAAATTCAAATGGCAGAGTTTTTGAACACTATCGATGCCTTACTTCTTTGTAGCAACAGTGTCCAGTCTCTTCTATATTCTTTGTCTGACAATGGATTGATTTTAAGTTTTTCCTGTCGAAGGCATTCATAGCCGCGACAAGCCACACCATCTTGTCGTTGTTGATCAAGATGGGCTAGCCTTGGCCATTGGATTGGCTCTCAGAGCCATTCTTTCCGAAGCATATAGTTTCAGTTCTAAGATCACTATGATGTCCTTTGGGTCGGATTAGCGTAAGGGCACTGCAGGAATAAGCTTCGGTTGGACTGAATTATTTGGAAGCAGTTCCACTGGTCATTCCTAATCCAGTTTCATCAACTAGAACTCATTCAAGTCTTTGATTTTTCCTCTGCTGCTCCTTTTTTCCCCACTACAGGAGGACGAATAAGGCGCCAGGATGTTTCACTCATCTATCCATTAATACTATCGGGAGTCCCTATCTAAAAGACATCAAATAAGGGGCCTCCTCTTCTACCCTAACGGAAAAGCCTTATCGTTACTTACCGGCAACCCATAAATTAGAATTTCTCTCCTTATTATTATATAATAAAAGCCAACTTCGATCAGTGTATTGATAAGAACTACTAAACCAATTCGTAAGAAGCAAATACATTGTTTGCAAAGCAGCAGTGAAGCCAAAGAAGAACAGAGGAGTAGCAGGTTGAGAGGGAGAGTAATGCGCAGCGGCGTGACGATGTTTGGTTGAATTTATACTGTTAAGACCGGAAACCTTTGTTGGCGATCGAGCGTGAAGTAACTGCAAATACCGAATCGGTGCAGACATGGTGGAAGGGGTTGAGAGATTTGTTCGTAGATGGAGAATAGAAACGGTTGATTTGCTTGAAACAAGTGTTTTGGCTAAAAGTGCAAGAGTGATTCGGATGTTCTTATTTAGAATTAGTTTTTTAGTAGCTGAGGATGACCAGTTTCTCAAAATTAATTTTGATTCTGTTTCTGCTTTAAAAAAGAAGCAGAATCAGAATCGATTCCAAACATCCTATAGAACGATCATGAGATAAGTAGGATCTGTTATTCTTGACATTCTGTATACAACACATATTTTAAGCCCAGAAGTAAACATATTTTAGGTTAATTAAGCCTAATTTCTTTAGAAAGTAAACACATCCTTAATAAGCAGTAAGGGACATTTACTTAGAAGCTGGTATCGAAGGATGACAAGAGACACCCGGCCGGATCAAGAATGGGCTAAGGTATGGAATCTTGCACTACCGCCTAAGATTAAAGTATTTTTTTGGCAGGCTTGCACAGACTGCCTACCTATTAAGAAAATATTTTTCTTAATAATTTAATAATAATAATAATAATAATAATAATAATTTCATAAATGTCAAATACCGTACCGTCAGTTGTGGTCCTCCCATAGGAGGTCATATATTTTAGGGAAAAATATGGAAAAGGTACTTGTGGTTGAACTCGTTTATATATAGGGTCATTCATGTGTTTTACTACGTAATTTTTATCAAAATAGTTCATGTGTTTGAATTTTGTTATCATAAGAGGGTCACGCCGTTGGACCTTTCGGTATTTTTTATCAAAGTAGTTCAAAGTAATTATTCCGTTATCAAAGTAGTCCGCCTTTGGATTTTTCAGATCTGTTTAAATTAGTTTTTTTTAAATGATTTCGCTAATATCACTTTTCCGATGCACCTTCCAGTATTTTTCTTTTAATTTTTCGGGCACTTTTGAAAATCGGAGTTACTTTTAACGGTCTTTTTCAGATGTTTTTATCGGTGTGACCCCTCTTGTGATAACGGAATTCAAACACATGAACCACTTTGATAAAGAATGAAACACATGACCCTATCTGAAAACGGGCTCAACCGCAAGTACATTTTCCGTACTTTTCCCTGTATTTTAATATCACTCCAATCAAAGATGTTAGCATCTGAATATCTAATAATGTAGAACAAATATTGTAATTAATCTTTACAATTGTACTCTCTTCGTCTCAAATTGATTTGCAACATTTTGTGGTTAATCAATATCAAAGTTAAATTCTCCTTATTTATAATTCTTAGTTAAATTTTAATAAATAAAATTCATGTACTCAAGAATTACATTAAAATCTTGAGAAAATGGACAAATAAATTCACGTACTAACCAAAAAGGGTCAAATAAGCCCTTATATAGGAGGCTATGTCCGGCCGTCGTCATTTGGGGCGGTTCCGGTGGAATTTGGTATGAGTAAACTGCTCCAAATGGCGATGACCGGACATAGCCTCTTATATAAGGGCTTATTTGACATTTTTTTTGTTAGTACGTGGGCTTAAAATCTGATTAAAGTTACAAAGTTCAAATTGGAATATGATTAAAGATTGATATATATCCTAGTTAAGTAAATAAAGTGAAACTATTTGACAAAAAAGTTGACTTTAAAAATCAATGTGAACAGGAGTATAAAAAATAGAAATAAATATGAAAATCTTCGGTAAAATATGTTTATTTGACTTAAAGTTACAAAGTTCAAATTAGAATATGATTAAAGATTGATATATCCTAGTTAAGTAAATAAAGTGAAACTACTTGACAAAAAAGTTGACTTTAAAAATCAATGTGAACAGAAGGAGTATAAAAAACAGAAATAAATATGAAAATCTTCGGTAAAATATGTTTATATGACTTGTATTAGCTTTACCAAATGACTCTTATATAAGAACGTCCCACTAAAATTGTCTCATTTGTGCAATATATTATCACTGTTTACTAAAATGGCTCTTATCTGACTGTTTATTAAATCACTATTTTGGTAGCTGTACAGAAGTATAATCGAGATATAAGATTTCAATATAACACACATTAGTTTCTTTAATAAAATAATAACACACTCTACAAAAAGATTACGAGATTGACACAGATTAATCAATGATTTAGTGTTAAATAGCTCGTGACAAACTGCTTTCTGGCACAAATTTAGCATACCCCTGTCAAAATCTCTGCAAAAAAATCATGTAATCCCGTATTTTTTTGTAGTGACACATTGATAAACTAAATACTTTTACACGGTTGGACCGTTCTACTCATTCCTGAACAAGTGAAATGGGATATTCGTGAATCCAGAAATTTGTGATCAACGGTCTGTACTCAACTATTATTTGAAGTTATAAAAAGTTGATTGATACATATAATAATAAAGTAAATATCATGTAAAAGAAAAGAAAAACAATTAAAAGCATGGATATATAATGCTCTTTCATCCGTCACATTCAAAGTTCGCACTTTCTTTTTTTGGAAGTCTCACTTGAAGATTCTCATTTTTTATTTTAAGAAACAATTAACAATCTTAAATAACAATTTAATCATCAAATACTTAAAATAATACATTTATAACAACACCATTATCATCCATCAATAACTCATTACATTTTATATTCATAAAAATTATTTCTCAAAATATATCCAAATTATCATATTTAATTATTGTCTAAATAATCGTATCATTTTGCTATGAGAACCTTCGTGACGGAGGTAGTAATACATACGGAGTAATACATACTACGTGTACGATCAATCACATAAAAGTGATAAAACTGGTCAGTTTTCATACAAGGGGTACGTTTATACACACATATATACGGCCATACATACGGGATAGAGTTTTTTAATTACCAGGGACGGGACGGGGCGGCGGACGATAGGCAAGGACCGATAATTTTGTTGTCGTTAGTAGAAAAACTGGCGACCGGGGCGGTTTCCGGCCACAAATGGTTGTGATGATGACCGATTGACCGATCAAAGTTGGAGCCCCGGCGGCTACTTAATTATGATCGAACACAAGGGTTGCAACGCTTCATTATATTCATGCATCTCCCGTTTAAGAATAATTCAATTCTAAGAATCAGATGGATGTTTCCAAATACTACTTTAGCATGAATTCTACTTTATATATATTGCGGAGTATATTATTAGGACTTTGCTAAATCCTTATACTACGTAATTACGTATATTATACTCCATAGTTTCCTAAACGTTGTTAATAATTATCTAGAGTTTCCTAATCTATAGTTAATCATTGTATATTTGTATATATATGCATGGGATCTGTTCTTATATGATTTAATTTGTTAATCATATTTGTAAGAATAATGGGATATATAATACAACCGGCACACGGTACAACTGAGTATTTTAGTTCATATATATCATGTGTAGATCATAATGCTCTATTGCACACTTTTATACTCAATTGTGCTACCAAAACAGTGATTTAATATTAATGCTCATTTTTATTAATGTAGTATTATACTCATTAGGTATAAGATAAAATACTCGATTGTACGGTGAGGACCGTACAATCGGGTGTACGATATGTGTATTGATTGAGGGAGGGGGTGTTAATCATGATCCAGGGTTCCGTTCTTGATGGTTTAATTGCATGATTAATGATTAATTTGTGAGCAAATAACATAACTGATTTTTTATAACTAGAAAGGCCACGGGATTATAATTGCACATAGAATAATTTAAGGGAGATATAAATTATTCTAGAACACTTTCACACACACGTACATAATCGCTCACTAAGAGATTAGCACAATTAGGGAGTCGTACGCTCGCTCGTCTTGGCAATGGTTTAGAAACTTTTGTCGCATGAGAGATTAGTCTCGTTATCTAAATTATTGTACTCTACGCCGTGAGAGTGGTAAGAACCATAGTTACTTAAATACGGTGCGGAAATTAAATGATGTTTAATACGTACGCGTTTTATTCGGTAAAATGAATGAAAGAAATGGTCAAATATTCGTTGAAAAACATTGACTTTTAAAAATCGTATAAATAAGTATATGTGTATAATACGATATCTATTACAAAAATTCGAACAAAAAATATGGGGTATTAATTTGAACATTTAAATTATATACTTCACATAATAACATATAGAGTAAAAAGAAATAAAAGTATACACATATTCGAGTAGCAAATCCTATTATTACCACATAAAAGAATAATTCGTAATTGAATAAGTCGATCATAAAAATAAAAATAGTAATAAGTCCAAGACATAAGTTTTGCAAAATAATATCAAAAAAATAAGATATAATATATACTCCCTCCGTTCCTAAAAATTCTTCCCGGTTTGACTTCACACGCTTATTAAGAAAGTGGAATAAAGTGGAAATGTATGGTTGTGGTTGAGTAAGAAAAAGGTAAAATGAATGTAAGCCACACAAATTGTCCAAAATGGGAAAGTGAGAAGTATTTTTGGGAACAGCCCAAAAAGGAAAGTGGGAAGTATTTTTGGGAACGGAGGGAGTAACAATTGAATGAGACTAAACTAAAATCATTATCTTTATATGATCGTCAAATAACATTCAAGTTAAACTCATCATTTTCATCAAGATAACGGGTGACATATGATCTGAGAAAAGTTGTGTGACTGTTACGCTTATTACTGTTTATGTGTAAAAGTTTATATTAAAAAAATGTCATGTTTAGAAAAACCTTAATTTGATATGCTTGTTTGGGAAAACATCAGAACTTTAGTTGTATTTTAAGTTGTAGTCTTTTAGGATGCTAGTTTTAGTTGTCATGCCATTAATTTTAGTATTTAATAATTGTATTGTAACAATACAAACACATGGGGTCGCGGGAAGGATGTTTTACTTTTTGCTTTTAAACTATTGTTGATCTCCTATGCATTTTAATACATTCATTCAATTGATCAATTCCTTTTTTCTATTTTTTGTAAAATACGAGAAAAATACGTTTTAAACGGGAAGCATGAGTTCTTTTCCTTTTTAAATGGACCGACGTTATTTTTCATTTTAAACGTGTTTTTCTATTCAAAAAAAAACGGTGCGTGTTTAAAACGCGTTTAAAACGCAAAAAAAGCTAACCAAGGTAAG